CTCTTATTCATTCAGATGTACAGGGGTCTATCTAGTCATATCGAGTCTTATAATGGTTTCTGCTATTTTGTTACTTTTCTTGATGTTTACTCCAGGATGACCTAGCTTTATTTAATGAAACAACATTCAGAATTATTTAGTATTTTTTGTTTCTTTTGTGTTGAAATTCAAAATCAATTTGGCACCTCTATTAAGATTTTCTGGTTTGAAAATGCAAAAGAATATTTTCTAGGCTCTTCCAATCATTCTTTGATAGTCAGAGATTATACTTTAGTCTTCATGTACACACACTCCAACAAAATGGTGTGGCTAAACGGAAGATCAGTCACTTAATTGATACGACCCAAGCACTTTTTTTAGATGACTGTTCCTAAAGCATATCAGAGTGATGTAGTGCTTACATCATGTTTTCTTATTAATCATTACCCCTGTCAATTCTCAATGGTGTGTTTCCTTTCTCTCTTTTGTTTCCATCTACACCTCTGTTTCCTCTTACTTCTCGTGTTTTTAGTTGTGTTTGCTTTGTTCATTGTCTTTATCCCATGTTGGATAAATCAAATTCTCGTGCTTATAAATGTGTTTTTTCCCCTTTGCTAAGCCATCATCTCCTCCACTTCCTGTACCCCTATCTCCTATGGAAGAGACATCACTTGCTCCCACTCTTGCTGATGCACCACATCCCACAAGTACCACCACTACATAGCCTCCCTTTCACAATGTGTATATTAAAAGACCACATTCACAGGTGATCAATACTCTAGCTTTCACTCAACTACCATCTGATCCTCCATCTATATATCTGAATGGTTTAGAGTTGCCCATTACTCTTTGCAAAGGTAAACGTTCTTGTATTAACTATCCCCTTTCTCATTATGTGTTGTTTACTCATTTGTCTCCTTCCTACCAAAGTTTTATGTCTCTTGTTTCTTCTATTTTCACTCCTTGTTTTATCCAGGATGCCCATAAGTCTCATGCCTGGAAGGAGGCAATGGATGATGAATTTCATGCTCTTGAAAGTAATCACACTTGGGATCTCACTTCCTTACCCCTGGCAAGCAAGCATTAAGGTGTAGATGGGTTTATACTATGAAACATCATCCCAATGGTAGTGTTGAAAGATATAAAGCTCATTTAGTGGCCAAGAGGTACACTTAGATTTATGGAGTGGATTATACCGAGACTTTTTCTCCTAATGCAAAAATAAGTTCCTTGCATGTGATTTTTTCCTTGCAGATTATTTTGATTGGCCTATTCTCCAACTTGATATCAATAATGCCTTTATGGTGATCTTGATGAGGAAGTTTATATGGAGCAACCTCTTGGATATATTGCTTAAGGGAAGGTTGAGAGGGTGTGCAGGTTGAGGAAGGCCAATTTATGGCATAAAACAATTACCTCAATCTTGGTTTGGTAGGCTTAGCAATGCAGTACAAGTTTGCATCAATGTAGTGTTGATCACTCAATTTTCAGGAGGGACACCTCAACTAGTAAGATTATTCTTGTAGTGTATGTCAATGATATCATTATTACAGAGAGTGACATCAAAGGAATTGAAGATTTAAAACTTTTTCTACAACACTAGTTTCAAACAAAAGACTTGGGACAATTTAAATACTGCTTGGGGATTGAAGTGGTGAGGTTTAAACATGGAATTTCTCTCTCACAACGGAAACATGTTCTTGATTTATTGGAGGAAACTGGGTTGTTAGGGACAAAACCAGTTGAGACCCCTATTGAGTTGATCACTAAGATGACAAAAAGTGAGGGGAATTGTTGGAAGACCCAAGTAGATACTAGAGATTGATAGGAAAACTTTATCTTACTATTGCTAGACCAGATATCCCCTTGAAGTGTAGGAGTACTCCACCAGCTTATGCAAAACCTAAGAACTAGTGATTGGGACGGTGTAATGAGAGTGCTACGTTATTTGAGGAGTGCCCTAGGTAAGGGGGTTGGTGTACAAAAAGGGGGGTGAACTGGCATTAGAAGGGTACTCTAGTACTAATTGGGTAGGATCAGTAACAGATAAGAGGTCCATCACAGGATATTGCACTTTTCTTGTTGGAAATTTGATCACATGGAAAAGTAAAAAAAAAAAAAAAAAAAAAAAACAATGTTTTGGCTAAAAGCAATGTGAAGTAGAATATAGAGAGATGGCTCACACTACATGTGAACTCGTTTGGCTGAAATAATTGCTATAGGAAGTTGGGGTGAATGTTCCTAAACTTATAAGGTTATTCTATGATAACCAAGCTACTGTTCACATCTCTTCTAATCTAGTGTTTCATGAAAGAAAGAAACACATATAGGTAGACTATCATTTTGTGAGAGAGAAAGTCATTAGTGAGGAGTTTATCATACCATATGTGAGATCAAAGAACCAACTAGTAGACCTTTTCACTAAAGGGTTAAGTCGCATGCAAATGAGTTATATTTGTGACATGTTGGATCTTTATGACATCCATGCTTCAACTTGAGGGGGTGTGTTAAAAGAATGGGTTATATTTATTTGTTGACAACTAGTTAGGTGGCAGGACATATAGATCTTTTATTGTTTCTTTCTTGTGTTTTTGTGTCATTTCTAAGTAGGGGTATATTTATAATTTGTTCTTACACATAATAAAAGAATGGGTCAACTGTCTGAGAAAAATATATACAAAAGTCTTAAACAACTGAATCCTCCTCTTATTCTTCTCCCTTCTCTCTTTGTTTCTCTTCTCTTCTCATCTAATTTTTCTTCTCCTACTCCATCTCTTAGTTTTTATTGTTTTAGTGGTTGATTTCATATATTAAACAATACTTTTTTTTATTGATATTGGAAATGAAAACGGAAATTTTAAAATTTGCCCAAAAATGAAATTATTATCCTATTTGGTGGTAGGTCAACAGTTTAACCTTTCAAATCAAATTTTTGAAAAGATAAAACACAAGAAAATGAAAAAATAAAGAAATTTACTAATATTTTATATTAGTTATATTAAATAAAAATTAAGTGTGATAAACAATAATTGTTTTTATTGACGATGAAAATGACCCAAAAATTAAATTGTTCTTTTATTTGGTAAGGGTAAATAACTTAATCTTTTGGAACAAATATGTCAACCCTTGATATTATAGTTAAATAATAAAAATGATAAAAAACACAAAAGAGTAGGAAAAATGCAAAAAAAATTGTAGAAAACATTTGGGATATATCTAATATTATATGTTAATCAAAACTAAGCCAAAGTATGATGAAAACATTTTAAAGAAAAAAGTATTTTAACTTGTTCTCATCTCTAATATTTTAATAATGATAACATTTTAGTAATCATATTAAAGAAAAAAGTATGATGAAAAAGAATTGTTTTAATTGATAATAGTAATGAAATACAAAATTCAAAACTAAGCCAAAATTGAAGTTGTTCTCATGTTTGATGGTAGTTCAATAGTTTAACCCTTTAAATGCAAATGTGTTAACTTTTGATGTCATAATTAAATAATAAAAAATAAAAGAAGATAAAATGCAGAAAATTTACAAAAATGAGTAAAATTTGTAGAAACCATTTGGGAACATCTTCATTATATTAAACAAGAATAAATGTGATAAATAAAAATTATTTGTATACACAAATATAAAAAAATGCTGAAATTTTAAAGATATATTATTACTATCATTATTAGTGCCTAAAATTGCCACATGCAGAACACACACATACTAGTTCATATTAAACGAATAAGAGAAAGATATGAAATTACAGAAAATTTTCAGAAATTTTAAAAATTAAAAAAAATGCGGAAAATAAACTGAATTCTGTAATTCGTAAAATTTGCGGAAGAAATAAATTTCTACTCTTTAGTTTTTAAGAATAATATTGGATGCTTTATGATTATGTTGAAAACAACATCAAATCTGTAAAAACCCCAAACATTCATCTATAACAATGAATTTGGATATAAACCGCTTGTTCAAGGCATTGAAGATAAAATGCTCCTTCAACGGCACTTTCCACAAAGGGCGTCAATTGTTACCATCCTTCATTAAGAGAAATTTGAGAGAAACATATAAAAGTTAGGTTTTAAAAAAACTAAAGTGGTGTTTGGAACCAATTCCATATTCTCATTTCCCAAAAAATGGCAATACATCAGCACCATGTTAGAAAATGCTGAAAACAACCACGCCTTGAAATTGGGAAGGCATGGTCTGAGAAAACACCTAATATCGTTGTTGCTAATAACGGTTAGCTGATGGTGGCACCGAAAAACATTGGCAGCAATGGAACCAAACAAATTTTTTTTTTTTTTTTTTTTTTTTTTTAGAAAGTGGCACGCCATTGCATCATAGCAATGGAGAAATGGCATTTTCTCCAAACAAAGTTCAAGGCCCCAAGTGTTATGACCCCCAAGTACAAGGTGGGTGTCTAAATTACCCTAATAAGAACGTTGCAGAGTTTTAACTTTTTAGCTTAAAAGAAAATTGGTAAAACAACAAATGCAATTTTGTCATGTACATGCACATATAGCAGCTTGAAAGACCGTACATTTGAAAATCATCATCGTCATCTAAGCCTTGTCCTGTTCTATTCTCTGTTTGGTGCCAATGTAGACAATTAAATTTTCATGGGCCCCTAAATGGGCCTTATCCCATAAATTCAAATTCGTTCGTGGGCCTTAGTATGGGTCCTTCTATTTGAACCATGCCCATACTCTCAAATATGTGCATAGGCCTTAACAGTTGGGCTTTACTTTTGTATCTGTTAGCATAATGAAATAGTCCATGTGAGACCCACTATGAAGTTAAGTTCAAATTCAAATTCAAATGTGAATTACAAATTTTATTGATTTATGAAAAAAAATCCAACTAGAACCCATTTTAGGTCCTAAAGATGGAAATCTAGTCAATAATTAAATAGAGAATAATTGATTAAAAATCATTCTCTATAAATGGTAAATTACCATTCCTATTCTTCATGAAAAGTAACTAGAATCAATCAAATCTCTAGTCAATGAAGGCACATCTTCTCATAGATGGAAATTTGTCCATGATTGAAGAGAAAATAATGGATGATAAATTATTCTCTCCAAAAATGACAATAATTACAATCTTTTTTTTTTATCAATACAATAATTACAACCTTTCATTCTCTAAAAAGGATTAATGAGAATTAATTAAATCCTTAATCAAGAAGACTAAGAGATGATACCAAGAAATCTATAAATAAGGATTCCCATCAAGAGGGAGGGGACTTTTGGGTCAAAGAGAAAAACTAAGAAGGCTCTTAAGGAGAAGAAAGCACATACACCATCTTCTTGAGAGCAAAGCAACAAATTCTTGAAATCTTAAAGAACCCTTCTCTTGATCAAGCTTTCAAAATCCAATTGAAGGAAGCAATCTCCATCGCTGTTTGAAGTATGGGAGCACGTCATCTGACCCTCGGCTTCAACACAAATCCTAATCTTCTAATTGCAAGAAATACATCATCAAATTACTTGGATCATTTCTAATTACTTCCACACAAGTCTTTTTTGGTCTGTCCCTAGCTCTTTTAGTCCCTTCAACTTGCAACCGATCACTTTTTCTAACAAATTCTGTAGACGGTCTTCTATGCAGTGATCAAACCATCTCAATCTACTTTCTCTCATTTGAACCTTTTCAGACTAAAGCTGGAAAGATAGGGTATTTCTCTTTTGATCTATTTAGCAATCGTCTTATTACTTTTCTGTTCTCAATTCAACTATATCCAACTCGTAAACAAATAAAGATGCATTAAAGATAAGCACAACTAATTTATAGAAGTAATATATCTTATTAAGGTCCAATTTGTCTAGCTTTAGAATGAAACAAATAACGACCTCTTCATGCCAGATTTATCTATTTTGAATACCTATCAATGAAAGAAGGTTATTGCTTAAACAAAAACTAATAAATTGTTATACCATTAAATTAATGAAATGCTTCAGAAATCAAATGCCATAGAAAATGCACCTTTCACTACACAGAACAGGCATGTTTCATGCATAAAGAAGGTGACATGCTTTGTTATGTTTGTATAGCCAACCTTGTACTGCTGTAGTCATGTCCTTTCATCTCATAAACATCGTGATAATGGTATTTCCTTTTTATGATTAGCAATGTAGTTTTCTCCTTTTACTACATTAATAAAACCAGTGAGTTACTCTAATCTTATCGTCCACTAAATAGCTATTCTTGTGCATCTCCACAAAATCTTTCCTTGCTTAAACAAGGAGAAAAAGAGGTTCTAAATAGAGTCTATATCCTCTAGTGTACACCCAGCACGAAAAATGGCAAAAAGGTTTTCAAACACTGTTCATAAAAGACCCAACCAAATTTCCATACCTAAAAATGTCATGCCAAAGGAGACCAAGAACTACACATAAGAAGAAGAAACAAAAGTTTAGAAAAGAGCAAGAAACCTGCCCAAGGTGATCAATAATCCATAGTCTTTCATCCACCCCATTAAAAGCTAAGAAGACACCCTCAAGAGATTCAAGAAGCATGGTGACTTCCAACATCTCACGATCCCCAAGAATTCTCATCTCTTAAGTCCAGGTCTCTTGCCAACAAAACATGTTCCAACACCCTACCAATATGATCTGACACCGCACATCTCATACATGGTGGGTCCCAATCTCAAGGTGAGATGTGCGGTGTCAGATTACGTTGGTAGGGTGTTGGAATATGTTTTGTTGGCAGGAGACCCCAACTCATCATCTCTCCTATATCCAAAATCCCAAGAAAAGAAATTGCATGAGAAAGAAACAAAGGAGATTGGATATTTTTTGTAGGATGACAATGAGTTTAACCTAAGAACCTATGCTTCAATTACGACTCTCCCCAGCAAAGATCTTCCCCCAAATCTGACAAGTTCTCCTTTACTCAGATCTATTTAATGAATTTGTGAATTATAACAACAGATTGAATTGCTTTTGCAAAAGAGATATCCATCTAGGTGACAAAAATACACAGCAGGTACTTTATTGTAAGGTTATCTATTATTTGAGGGGTGCATCTTACTAATATGTGGATTAATAAAACCTATTATATACTTACCACAAAAAATACAACCTATAATATACTACATATATTACTTATGTTAAATTTCATATGGACATGGCATTGAACAGAAAAGAATGAAGAAACGGGATTAATGTAGCCAACCACATATAATTGGGATAAGGCTTAGATGATGATGTTAGTTATGGTTAAGAATGTGTTGGCCTCTTTTAACCAGATATTTTCTGCCCATGTATCCCATCTTGGCCAAGATGGCAGCAACGATTGAAAGAAGGATGAGAGATTTCTATGGCATAGCTGGAAAGAAGAGAAGAAATTCATCTAGTCATCTAGTGAATTGGGAATTGATGTTTAGACACAAAAGAACTGGGAGATTGGGAATTAGAAGACTGAAGGAGTTGAACATTGACCTATTAGGGGAGTGGTATTTCAGGTTTGAGGAGAAGAGTGGAGGATTGTAGAGGAGAGATATTCAAGCTAAATATAGATCTAGAAATATGGGTTGGGAACCAGGACAAGCCAATAAATTATATGGTTGTTCAGTGTAAGGCATAGAGAAAATCCATAATTACTTATTCAAACAAATCAAATTTGAAGTGCGGAAAGGGTAATGGGACTAGAGTAAGGTGCCAACTGCCAACCAGCTGATTGGTAAGGTCCCCTGCAGGTTGTAGTGAAGACTTGGGATCAAATCCCACCTGCACCTGGGTTGGGGGATGGGCTACCCCCTGTTGTGTAGCCCTTCGGAAGACGTATAAAAAAAAAAAAGGTAATGGGACTAGAGTCAAATTGGGAAATATGCTGGTGTGGAGATAGTCCTCTAAGAGAAGTGTTCCCAACCTTGTTTAAGAGAGCCATTGATAGGGAAGCTACAGTGGCTAATTACCTGCAGGTCATTAATCATTAATGATGGGTGTGTTCGGAAGTTTGGAAGGCCTCTTAATGATTGGGAAATGGAGCAAGTGCTGGAACTGTTGCAAAAATTATACAACATGCAGTGCACTCAAATCCTAACAAAGATGATAGAAGGGTGTGGTCTGAGGAGAACAAGAAAATATGGGGTTCCCAACTAATAGTGTGGTGTAAGGATATACCTTCCAAGGTAGTTTTTCTTGTATGGGCTGCTTAGATAAGATCCTTACTAAAGACAACCTGTTGAAGAGAGCTCTGGTGACTCCTCACATCAATGGACCTCCTACTGATAGTCTGATTCTTTGCAGGTTCACCTATGAAATCTGGAGCAAAGTTTTCAAGCTTTTTCCCGTTAGAGGTTGCTGTCCTGCTTTAGTAGAAATGCTCTTGAAGGTCTGGCTGCAAGAGCTAGGAAAGATCATTTGGCAAATGATTCCTGGAGTTGTAGCAGGAGAGAAATGTGAGGGAGTTCAAGAATATTGCTAACTCAACTGGGATGTTTGGCACAAAATATGGGGCAAATTGATTTCTTGGATATCTGTAAACAAATGTTTTAAGAGCAAAGATTCTAGTTCTTTGTTTGTTTAGAACCCTTTTGTTAGCACCGAAGGTTAGTGGTATAGCTGTATAGGCATTCTTTTTGCATGTTCTGATATAAACTCCCTGTGTACAGCCTCTAGTTGTAGAGGGGCCTTTCTTTGTTATAGTAATGAAGTATACTTTACCTCTTCTCCAAAAAAATGGTGATGATGAAGTTTAGCTTTAGAGTTTTATTGTTGAAATATAGATCTAGGAGTTTCTAGGAGGGATAAAGAAAAGACACAAGCAAGGGGCTCCTTTTTTTCTTGCCTATTAGGGCAATTACAGACACAGGTTAAACAGAATGAGAGCTCCATCTCTTTTTTGTGTGTGTCCTCCCAAATCTTTTACTAAAATATTATAGATTTCTTTATTTGCCAATAGTCTTCTTTTGACATGCAGCCCTTTCCAGTTAGACCAATATTGCGTAATGGCCCTTTCTGATATGCAATTGCAATAGTAAATACTTAGTGTGTGCAATGTTGTTTTTGAAGATTTAAATTAATTGATTTAAAATGCTGTCATAACTTGAATTCTATTGCCTAGACAATACCTAGGTAGGTGCCTAAATGGTCCATCGCCACCAGGAATTACTTACACTCTAAGCCTAAACATCCTTCTAAAACATTTTTAAGAAATTGTCTGAATCTCCCATTGCCACCGGGGTTGAAGGGGTTATGGGTATGGGGGACAGGCTACCCCCCATTGTGTAGCCCCATCAAGATATTAATGTTTACTCTCTCTATAGACTTCTGGATCCTTTGAGAATTTCATCCCTAAAAGAGTTTCCTAATCAAATGCACAACTCTAACCCCAGATAAATCCTCATCTACTTGCAAAGACCTAATGGTAACCCCACAGACCCAAAACTTAGACATAAATCCCCAATAGCATCAATTCCTTTTTAATTTTCTCTTAAAATTGTCTCCAGTCCAGCTTGGTTCATATAAGTGAACATACAACATTTTTGAATTTTATATCTCCTCTCTCAAGGCCAATAAATAAACACAGAAGGGCATCCAAGTTTTACAAGACATTCAAATGTTACCAATAGCTGACCTTTTTAACTTAAAAGAGATATAATCTGCAAATGAAGACACTTCAGATTGCTTCTGTTGTTAGGAATGTTATTAGGACTGTTATTGGGCCGTTAGTGGGCTGTTAGTGGGCCTGTTTTATGTGTTTCCTCTGTTAAGTTGTAATCAGGGGTATTATTGTAATATCCCCTCTTTATTTGAACACCCTAATATATATATGTCAAGTGGGATGCCACCCCTATTACTTTTTTGGCAATTCTTTCTCTCTTCTCTGCTCTCTTCTTCTCTTTTCCTTCTTTTCTATTCTAGATGGTATCAGAAAAGATCTGACTACAAGAGGAGCTTGAGTACATCTTTTCTCTCCTCTCTCGGGTTTCTTGGGAAAAGACTTGGCTACTCAAATCTGAGAAGGACCTAATCAGGTAAGGGTTTTCTGTGCTATTTTTTTCCCTTTTTGGTTGTGGGACCAAGAGGGTGATTGTTTGGGTGTTTAACTTGTATGTTGTATCCTGTGATGGATTGTTGAGTGTTTAGAGAGGTGTCTCTCAGTGTTCTGTATGATCTGAGATCCAGTCAGCTGTGCGTAAGCCTTGTTTTTGGATCTCTAATGTCCAGGCCTGTTGTTGTTTATTGTGCTGATTTGTTTATGGTGGAAGTGCCTTCTTTTTCTTAAAAGATTCAAAACTGTTGCAGTTTTTTTTCTGTGAAGTTCGGCTGTTGTGTTCTTCTTCACTGTTTGTTTTGACTTGGTAATGCTTGGAGGTTTCCTACACTGCTATTCATTTCTTGTGGAAGGTGCTCAGTGTAGAGTGTTTGATACCATTAATATGAGAAAGAAAAAAGGAAAAAAAAAAAACACAGACCTGGTCACTCCCTTGTTGGTGCTGTTATTTGTTTGTTTGGTTTAATGTATTTGTGGGATTGTTACTTGCTGCACTTGAACAATGATGACTGATGATTCAGCCATGTCTGAAGTCACTAGAGGTCAGAATATGGTCAGCCCAGGGGCTGAGAACTGGGGTTTCCCTGTTGCTATTACAGTCCTTGATGGACTGAACTATATGGAGTGGTCCAAAAGTGTTAAGTTGTATGTTGGGTCTAGAGAAAAGCTTGGATACTTGTCCAGTGACATTCCTCAACCCAAAGAGGTTGTTGCAGACCATGATAAGTG